GGCCCGCACAAGGGCAGGCTGGCTTTGCCCCCCTGCGGATCCCATCACCCCACAGGGCCAGCTCCCCTTGCTCCAGGAAAAATGGGGGTATCCCCCACATTCCGCTTTACCCTGCTGGTCAACTCTTTCCTGAGAGCACCCATCACTAAGCACAACTCCCTGATCACCCCAGAAGCCGGAGGAGCCCTGTCCAAGGGCTCCAGCGCAGCGAGGCCTGTGCCTGGCCGGGCCAGCAGGGGGCCGCAAGTCTCAAAACATCAGCCAGGAACCAGGGAAGGGCACACAGGTGCTGGGCAGGGAGCTGCTCCCTGGGTGCTGGGGAAGGCAGTGCAGCCAAGTGGTATTGTGGAGGGCAGGCCGGGGCCTCCCAGTGGGAGAGGCCGAGGCATGGGGAGGGGCACAGCATGGCCGGAGAGCCCGTTTGCCATTTGGGGTGACCTGGAGAGAGCTGAGGGTGCTGTCGATATAGAAACCGTCCAAACCTGTAGTGAATTTTTGTGTCTTTATTTGAGCCAAACTGCTAATTGCCAGGAAGCAAAATCTCCACAAACAGAAAATGCTCCGGAGAATGACAGTGCCGAAGCTTCCCTTCCCCATTAGAATCAGAGGAGGAGGCACTGGGAGGGTTACAGGAAATCAATCTGTGGGTGGTAGATTTAGGGGGCAGAGGAAGTAGGGGGGGGCATCTCTGGGATTGGGTGAAAAGTAAAACAGAGACACATCCCGTTTTACCTTCATGGGTACAGGATAGTAACAACGGGCATTTCTAGCACACACAGACGGTGTGCGGGGAGACGAGTGACGGATCCCGTGGCCTCTGCCCGGTGGGTGGGTGCGCCCTGACGGGTCTGAAAAGGGAGATTTCTCTGACATTTCAAAGGTCTGTTACCTTAGGTGCAAAAAGACAATACACAGGCTCACTGACGGTAACTTGTCAAGGACTCCGGGGCTGGGATGCGACTGACAGCTGTGACTCACTTTCATTAGGAACTTGGATGTTCAGACCATCGTGTGGTTACTTTCACCCTGAGCGTTTCCGGTTTAGTATGTGGCCCTTTTCGTTCAGAGGGAGGTCCAGGTTGCGGCATCAGAAATACCACGTCAGCCCTGACCAGTTTGGCTCAGTGGATAGAGCGTCGGCCTGCGGACTGAAGGGTCTCGGGGTCGATTCCGCACAAGGGCATGTACCTTGGTTGCGGGCACATCCCCAGTAGGGAGTGTGCAGGAGGCAGCTGATGGATGTTTCTCTCTCATCGATTTTTCTAGCTCTCTATCCCTCTCCCTTTCTCTCTGTAAAATATCAATAAAATATATATTTAAAAAAAGAAAAGAAATACCACATCAGCCTATGGCGGGAAGCTGAGCCAGAAGTGAGAACCCTGGGGGGTTGCGGGGGGCGGCAGCTGCTCCTCAGGAGGCTGCAGTGCCCAGACCTGAGCCCCTCCCCGCCTCCCCTCTGGCCCCGCCTTCCTTTGGGAATGACGGTCAGTCGGTCAGTCGTCAGTCTTCTCTCGGGGCCCCTGCTATCACGGAGCCCCCTGCATGGTGAATGAGATGAAGATCGGGCCTCCTCGGCAGGCTTCACACCGCCTTCTGGGACCCAGCCTGCCTCCGCCACCTCCATCCCCGCGACACGCTTCCACTCACTGTTCCCTCCGCCCGACTCCTGCGAGCCTTATGGTCTCTCCCAGGGCAGGTGTGCAATCAGCCCTGCACTCTGCACTGTCACTGAGTGGGGACACAGCCCTGTAAGGGTGGGGACCAGGCCAGCCCTCAGCAGCCAACATGGGCCTTGGCACCTGGGAGGGAGCTGCTTAAGAAACAGGCGCTGAACAGGGCGAAGGGCCGGGACTTGCGCGTATACTGTGTGCAGGTCCTCTGTACAAACCCTCCCACTTAATTTTAACAGCCCCATAAGGTAGGCTACTTCACACCCGAAAACAGGCTCAGAGGGGAGAGGTGAACCCCGCCGTGGGCACCCTTGGATCTTTCAAACCTGAGCAATCTGTCTCCCAAGCCTAGGTGGCCAGATGGTCGGGTGGCAGGGACACCACAGCTGTCCTGGCCCCGGTGTGGTGGCAAGGGCCAAGCAGGGGTCACCGAACTTCCAAGCCAGGCGCCCTCTCCTCGGCCAGGCCACTGGGCACCCAGGCCCTTCTCTGCTCCACCCATGGGAACCAGGCCTGGGTGACGACACAGCTTCCTGTCGGGCTGTGGGAGGGGTCTGATGACTAATGGGAGATAAGCTGGGCCTGTGAGAGACACTGGGGGGGTGAGGGGGGCAGGTGCCCAGTAACACGTACCAGCGGTGGGACTGGGCAGCGGCTAACTGCCCTGTGGCTGGGCTTCCTCGTATATAAAGAGGACAGTGTTAACAGTATGCTTCCCAGGGTCCTGGGATTCGAGGAGCTGGAAACAGCACTCCAAGCTGGGCTCAGGAAGTGTCACCACCGACCGTGTCTGTCAACTTGGGGGGCGCCCCTAGCTGTTGGGGGATGAGGCCCTTGGCTGTAGGAAAACCCCACGGAGGGGCTCTGTTCTGGGGGTGATGTATCTCAGCACCTAGAATGCTGTCTGACCCCGTGCCTCTCCCTTCTAGAAGTGAGCTCCTGGAGGAGGCAGGGGCTGGGCCCCACACTGACCGAGCGTGTATGTCCTCCTGAGGACTCCCCAGCGTGACGGGACAGAGCCCAGGACTCCCTGGTTTTGAGGGTATGTGCAAAGGCAAGAAAAAGCAAGGAGAATGTAGCTTAGGCCACCGTTGTTTGTGTGTATATACCTATAATAATAAAAGCATAATATGCTAATTAGACCCGCAGCCAAATGACCTTCCGAATGTCATTCCGGATGAAGCCACCGCGGCGGGGGGGCCGAGGCAGAGGCGGTCAGGGGCGATCAGGCAGGCAGGTGAGCAGTTAGGAGCAATCCGGTAGGCAGGCAGGCGAGCGGTTAGGAGCCAGCGGTCCCGGATTGCAAGAGGGGCAGACTGGGCTGAGGGACACCCCCTCCATGCACGAATTTTGTGCATCAGGCCTCTAGTGTGTGTGTGTGTATTTCATTCAGAGAGAAAAGGAGAGGGAGTGAGGAATAGAAGCATCAATGATGAGAGAGAATCATTGATCGGCTGCCTCCTGCATGCCCCCTACTGGGGATCTGAGCCTGCAACCTAAGCCTGTGCTCAAGAATCGAACCGTGACCTCCTGGTTCATAGGTCAAGGAACCACCACTGAACCACATCGGCTGGGCTTAGGCCACAGTTAACAAGGGACAGTGATGGGAGATGGGGAAGGGGGGCCCCTGTAGACCAGGATGAGGAGGGCGCGTTTTTCCCTGTGTGACAAATGCTGCCTGAGTGGTCCTGATGCCGGAGAGATGGGGGATGACAGACAACCCTGCCCCCATGGGACTGCGTCCTAGCGGGAGCACACAGGAACTTTTATAAGCACCAGGCCATGCCTTTGGCTGGGCAGTGTCAGAGGAGCCATGCCTGCCCTGATCTGAGATCTGAAGGAAGGGTAAAGTGGGAGAGGGAGCGGGTGGGACACAGCCAGGACAGCGGCCCTGAGGGGACAGCCAGAGAGTCCGCAGGGTCCTCAGCCTGGCTGAGGGCATCCGGAAAGGTTTCCAGGAGTTTGTATCCCTTCAGTGAGCTCAGTCGCCTGGGTTTGGATCCCAGCTCCGCCACTTACTGAATGTGTGACCTTGGGCAAGCGATCTCATGGCCCCATGCCTCAGTTCCCCCAGGGAAGTGGGGCTGATGGCAGTCGCTATGCACAGCAGTGTTTGTTCGGACAGTTCTATCCCTCGCTGCTACTGTTGGCCTCGGGCCAATTGAGTATCTGCTAAACTGAAGACCTGGGCTTGCTGGGACCTGGGGGATAATGAGAGGGAGAGGGGAGAGTGGGGAGGGAGGGGCTGAGGATGAGCAGGTGACAGGGGAAGAGGGGGCGGAGGTGGAAGGAAGCAGAAGCCGGCTCCCCTGCTTTTATCCCAGCCTGTCCCAGCCTGTATTCCGCCCCTGTCCCTGCAAAGGCTCTTCAGAGATTAGGGGTTTATCGTTATTCCCAGGAGGACAAGGCAGACTCTCCCATCTCACCAAATCTTCCGGAACCCACCCAGAGCCAGTGCGTGTCTGGGCTCCCACGCCTGCTCAGCTGAGTTTACACAATAGCCCCCCGAGAGGAAACGAGATAATCAGGAACAGAGGGGAACCCCTCAGCCCGGCCTTATCAGTGTCGCACTAATGCAGCCACCACACAGCACGGGTGCGAGGCGGAAGGGACAATCAGACAAAGGGAAGTTCTTGGAAATGAGAAAGATGGCAGCCAAAATAAACATCTGTTAACACCGGAGCTGAAAAATGACAAATTTGTAAGGCAGATAAAGCCACCCGATTGTCCAGAAAAACCTGAGGCAGGAAAAATGAGAGCAAAGCTGTAAGACATGTGGAAGAGATCCAGAAAGTCTAAAATCCCTCTGAGTGGCAAAAAGCCATGTGAGGAGCAACGAGGGAGAAGAAGTAATCAGAGAGCCCAGGCCGGGTGGCTCCGCTGGCTGGAGCATCGTCCCGTACACCCAAAGGCTGCAGGTTCAATTCCCATTCAGGGCATGTGTGGGAGGCGACCAATCAATGTTTCTCTCATGTCGATATTTCTCTCTCTCCATTACTCTCTCAAAGAAAAACAAACAAAAACCCGCACACATCCACATCCTCCGTGAGGATTAAGAAAAAAAGAAAGGAATCAAAGAGAGAAGAGAAAAATGTGCTGCACTGAAGGAAGATTCCAGCGTTCACTGAGAAGGGCCACAGAGCTCCAAGCAGCACACAGAAGACAGTGAACCAACCCCCCTCCCTGCCCGTCCTGAGCACCTGACTTGGAGGACAGCCAGGAGGACTCGGAACAAAGCAGGGGAGCCGTGTGCCTGGCTGCTTCCTGTGTCGCCTGCCAGGCCCCTAGTTATTTGTGAGGTTCGGCCCCCACCTGCGGAGCCACGCTGTGCAGGCCCAGGCAGAGCACCAGGGAAGGGCAGCCAGGGTTCCTGTCTTAACAAAAGCACAGGGAGAATGGACAAGTTCTCAGCCTCTTCAAGGTGACTGGCCCCAGAGGACCCAAAAGAAGTCTGGAGTATGCAAGTGAGTAAGATGAGTGAGGGGGGCACACCTCCCACCGGTTATCCTGGGCTCTCCCCGCTCAATCCCGCCATCTCCCCTACACTCCCAGGGCTCACCCCTACCACGGGCAGGCCCTCACCTCTGCCCCGGGCTCCGGCAGCAGCAGCCCTTCCTGCCCAGGCTCTATCCGATCTCATTCATGAAGCCAGGGAGGTCTTCCTACAATAACCTGAGCCCAGCACACCTCTGCTAAACGTTCTATGGCTCCTATTCCCCCAGGACAGAGCCCCAGACCCCACCAGCTCACAGAGACCCCGCAGCTGGCTCCCCGTCTCAGATGCACTTCGCTCCCTGCAGGGATCTGCCAGGGACCCGGCAACCAGCGGGTTTTCCAGGCTGTGGCCCGGCACAGGGACCCACTGGGCCTGGGTGGATGCAGGCCTGGGAAGCAGGGCTGTTCCTGGGGCCTGCCAGCTCCCAGTGGTAGATGACAGCTCATTACCTACGTACACAGGAGCGTACTCCTTTGCCCAGGGCTCCCCTTATCTTCAAAGCTTCTGAGGTGGAGAAACCGCAGCCTCCTCCTCCCTGAGTCCCCCTCCCCCACCCCACCCCCAGCTGTGAGAACAAAGGCCCTCTGACCTGGGCCCTCTGGCCAGTTTCCCACTCTACCTGTAACCAGGCAGGAGAAACCATTCAACAGCAACAAATGACCAGGCAGGATCTGGTGATGGGGTCTGTGCTGTGGGGACACAGTGAATGAGCCACCATATCTGTCCTCAAGTAGCTGGCGAACGGACAGACCAGATGCCACAGACAAGTTTCGGAGCCAGGTGCTCGAGCCCTGGTTTTGCCTCTGATCACGGCCGCGTGTCCCTGAGAAAGGCCCTCCGCTGTAAAGTGGGATGAGAACGTCCACCCTGACGACTGCTCTGAGGACTGCACCCGATAAAGTACGGTGCTGGGGGCGCCATAAGGACCCAAGAAACAGGAGGCCTGCTTTGCTTCAGACGGGACACTTGCTGAGCCAAAGAGAAGGAACAGAGAAAGGGGAGGCCAGGAGCGGGAGAGGACTGAGAAAACCGAGCAGTTTCCCATGACAGGCCCCTGACAAATGGGGCTGAGGTCGCAGGGATGTGGGGACACTGCCGGAGTTCTCACCCCTGGCCAAGCCTGGAACCACCTGGGAGCTCCCCGAGGCCTGCCTCCCAGGCCACCTCTGAGTTCTGCTCTGGGTGGGACCCCAACACTGGAATTCCGGGGCAGTGGGCAGAGGACCACTGGTTCTCGGACGCTCTGAAAGCCCCGTGGGGAGCAAACCTGAGCCACCCAGTGTGTCCCACACTCGCTTGACCACTTGTAGAAACCCATTAAGATCCTCTGGGAGCGTGTCAGGGAGGACACGCTGGGAAATGCAGACCAGGTTTACAGCACAGTCTGTGGGGGCGGGAGGCCTCGTTACATTCCTGACTCTGCCAGTTGAGAGCAAGCACTGTCCCCGCCGAGCTCTGGGCGTTGTTAGGGGATCACACGGGAAACACACAGATGCAGCTTTTGCTCACACTACCAAGCGAATCCCAGTCCCCAGCACAGGGGCTGTATCCAGTTCCTCAACAAAGCCATGCAGAGGCCCTACTATGTGGTGAGCAACACAGACCTGGTTCCAGCCCACACAACATACTCTGGTGTAGGACACGGATGTGAATCAAAGGGTCATAGAGATACATATCTATACTAATAGAGGAATATTCTAATTGGTTGGGAGACTGTCACGCAAAGACCAATCAGGACTGGGTGGGGGGCGGAGAGCTCTCAGCAGCCTGTGCCTGGGCGGGATGGGGGTTGAGGGGGGTCCAAAGGGCACGGAGAGGAAGGGAGAGCAGATAGGCAGTTAGGGGGATCAGGCCAGGAGAGCAGAGCAGGTAGGCAGTTAGGGGGATCAGGCCAGGAGAGCAGAGCAGGTAGGCAGTTAGGGGGATCAGGCCAGGAGAGCAGAGCAGGTAGGCAGTTAGGGGGATCAGGCCAGGAGAGCAGAGCAGGTAGGCAGTTAGGGGGATCAGGCCAGGAGAGCAGAGCAGGTAGGCAGTTAGGGGGATCAGGCCAGGAGAGCAGAGCAGGTAGGCAGTTAGGGGGATCAGGCCAGGAGGGCAGAGCAGTTAGGCCCATCAGGCCAGCAGGGGAGCAGTTAGGGCCATCAGGCAGAAAGGCAGGTGAGTGGTTAGGAGCCAGTGGTTCCAGATTGTGAGAGGGTGCAGGCCAGGCTGAGGGACCCCTCGCATCCCTTGCGTGAATTTTGTGCACCGGGCCTCTAATTTCACATATAAACTTATGGAGGAGGATGAGGGCTGCCAAAGAAAAACCGGGGAGGGGGCTGCGAGAATGTAACAAGGATACCTGACTTCTGGGGACTCACGGTTGGCTCCTCTGAGGAAGGGCCATTTGGGCCAAGACTGGAAGGATTAATAGGTGTGAACACAATGAAGCTATACAGGTGAAATGAGCTGGGAGATGTAGAAGGCTGGGACACGCAGGAAGAAGAGGGAACCTGGACTAAAGGAGGAGAGGGGACAGATGTGAAACATTTAGACAACAGAATGGGCAGGGCCTGGTTGGCTGAAGGTGATGGAGAAAGGGCAGATGTCAGGGACTACTGAGTTTCTGGTGTGAAAGTCAGGATGGATGGGGCTGCTGAGACACTGCAACGCCCCCGCCCCCAACACACAGGCCCGTGTGCCCTCCTTTTCCCTGCTTTATGTTCCGCATAGCATTTTCCCAACGTACTATATACGTGACTCACATATATTATTTGTCTGTCTCCCCCCACTGCAACATGAGCTCTGGGAGGACAAGGACTTTTATATGGTTCACTGAGTCATCCCCAGAGCCTACATCAGGGCCTGGCACCTCACAGGTTTTAGTGAATGTTTGTTGAATGAATGAACTCTGAAGAAACTAGGCTGACATCATAACATCCAACACCCTCCTTAGGGCTTCTAAATTGGGAAGAAAACCTAAGCCCGTGGTCGACAAACTGCGGCTCGTGAGGCACCTGTGGTTCGCGAGCCATGGTTTGCGGAGCCGCAGTTTGCTGACCACGGCCCTAGCCGGTTTGGCTCAGTGGATAGAGCATGGGCCTGCAGACTGAAATGTCCCAGGTTCGATTCCGGCCAAGGGCATGTACCTCGGTTGCGGGCACATCCCCAGTGGGGAGTGTGCAGGAGGCAGCTGATCGATGTTTCTCTCTCATCAAAGTTTCTAACTCTCTATCTCTCTCCCTTCCTCTCTGTAAAAAATCAATAAAATATGTTTTTTTAAAAAAGGCTTACATATACAAGATGACGATCATAATAAGAATATTAATGAAAAAAGTGAGCCCAGCCCCCATTTATTAAGCACACACCCTCTCCTCCACCCTTTCTTCTTAGTAACAGATTTTGCAACAATAACTCCCATCGTTTGGGGGCTGATTGTTTTAGACATTGCACCAAGAGCTTTAAAGTTTGAGCTTGCCTGTAATTCATGACGGCCAACTTCCAAAACGCTGAGCATGCGCCTAGCTCAGGGCTCTGCACCTGTTCCAGGCATGCTTCTCCCCCTTGACCCCGGGCCTTGCTTCCTCCCTTCTCTCCGTCAGAAATTCTCTCCTCTATAATCTACCACGCCACACCTTTCCTTGCCCTGATTTTACTTAGATTTTCCTTATAGAAATCTTTTACTAGTTCTCCTTAGAACTTTTACTTATTGTCTGACAACCCTACTAAAATGTAAGCTTCATAAAAAAAAAAAAAAGTAAGCTTCGCAAGGACACTGAAACAGTGCCTGGAACATGAAGACGTTCAATAAGTGTTCGTTAAATTAATAAATGTCCCACTCTGAGACTGAGGTGGGTATGATGCCCATTTTATACAGGAGGAAACTGAGGCACAAAGACATTGACTCGCTGGCTCACGCACCAAATGAGTGTCGCAGGGTTCAACCCAGAAGTCCTCAGAACACACCCAATACAGTCATTATTATCACTGCTGCCCGCCTATTCAGCGCCAGGACTTGAGCTCAGAGCTTTACCCCGAGCCGCCTCGCCCCCTCCTCCTACGAGAAACCCGCGTGGCCCGCCCGGCGGGGACCCCCGCCAGAGAACAGAGGAGGAAGCCA